CCGAAGTTGTTATCAACCGTGCTGAGTATCGCCAAATCATGTGGTAACAACCATGTTTCTTGGAGGGCAACCACATCCGCCGACTGACATAGAGCTCTGACTCCTTCCATTGACCTCTTGAGTGACTTGCAGTTAAAACTCACTATTTTACTGAGACTGTCCATTGTTGTTAGGTTTTTTTTTTTTCATCTCCATCCTTTTTTTTGCCTCATATGAAAGTGCACAAAACGCCTAAACGATATTCCTGATGGCCACAACTTATCATCTAAGAATATTTCAATTTTGTGCTTCGTTACAAAGAGTTTGTAGGCATTATAATCTCTTTCCCGCTTCATTTTAATTTTCACTAGTGTAACTCGCTCTTGAGTCTTCTCATATACGTAGTTAATTATATCTTGTTCAGATACCGCTTTGTGCACATTTGAAATAAGTAACGGCACTTTGGTATCGGCTGCTCTGAACAGTGAACTATTGTCCTCAACATTCACCACCGCACTACCTTTTTGACTGATAAAACGGTTTCTATGTCTTCTTTTCTGAACCAAAATCCATTCTTCATTCTTATTCGACATTTTCCATTCACCGTCTTTTTGCATAACCTCGGAAAATGACAGGTGATTCTCAACTAAATCATTCATTTGTTTACATCGATCAGCTCTGTCGTTATTAAGCTCCGGCGCACAGATGTTATGCGTCGGTTCCGTGTTTTCAAGTGGTAATGCGTTCCGACCGATGTCTCGCTCACTCACAGGAGTCACTCGCGCTGAGCTCGCCACAGCGGCAGTGGCCGGCGACATAATAATATGCGACAGCCGGGGAGAAAGAGACAGGTTGTCTGCGGGTGCATTATGCTCTGCAAGTGATTCATCACTACGCAATGTAGGATGTGTCATCGGTCCACTATTTAACGTTTCCAATCTACCTCCTATATGCCTATTAATGTTTTTGTCTTGATTTTCAAAAGATATATTCTTAATTTTCGTATAGCATTCATTAATACTCTCACTTAATTCACCTTTGGTCGCATAATGCAAAATTGAAACTGATTCTTAAACCAATTAAGTTTTTATTACTTTCAAATTTGTTAAACGACGAGACGTTCTCAACATTTGCAATGACGATTTGCTTAGATGGTATCGGTAAATTCAATTTACTATCCTATATACCTGGAGCTGGAGCAAAAAGAACACCCCACCTTGGTCGTCTTTCTAATGTAATCCGTGCATGAAATCAGTACAAATTGCCTGTATTTGTCTACGATTGCACGTCTCTGCAATCAAAGAAAAGTTAATTCGGTTAACGTTGGCAATAAAAAAATTATTATTACGGTAACGTATCGCAGATTTTAAATTATACTACAAAGTTGCCGTGCAAAGATACTCCATTCTTGATAAAGCACCTCCACCTTAGCATTCTGGCGAGAGGCCACCTAACCCAAAAGCCGAAAGGCTCTCATGTAAAAGGTTGTTATGAAATTTATTTTATTTATTTATTTTAATTTTTTTTTTTTTTTTTATTATTAAAAAAGACAACTCCCGCATTAGGAAAATATCCTGTGTCGCGGGGGACTTTACAAACATACATGAAACGGACACAAATAACACCCAGACTTGGAACAACAATTTGTGGATCACACAAAGTGTCGTCCCATGTGGGGTTTGAACCCACAACACTCGGCGTAGTAGGAAGCGGCGTGCACGATTTATAGTGGACCAGTAATAAGAGTGGAGTTTATAAGTTATTTGGAGGACTATTCATTTAAGGCGATAACATTATTATTCCTGTAAGAGTTTGCAAGTCGACTATATTTTTTTATTACTTTTGAAAGTTTTGAATTCCAGCTCCATAATTTTCTTAAGACTACCTTTTGAGGGTAAGGGTCCTAACATGGAATCTAAATAATGAATTATCAATTTATTTCACCAGGTCCGTCTGACTGTGCATACCCATATGCAGTAATGTGGCAAAATAAAATCTTATTTGTTGTTTCGTATCCGATAGTGTAGGATATGATTTGATAAGTCTTTAAAACTATTCAGAGGTGTAAGGATTTCTATTTGTAATTTGTTAGACTCTGACTTAGATTATATTGATATAAATAATTCCTTAGCTAATAAAATTACTTGGACGAAATTATTCGAAACACGTTACTATGATAAACAATGGAAACTCCGCAATAGGCGTGGCCCGACACACACCGGTTTGTACCACCTGATAAATCTACCTTAACAGTACTATCTAAACTTGAAATGAATTTCTCCAAAATAAGCAGACAAACTTCTTTCGTTTATAGAGTTCTTTTACATAACATGTTCTTTCCTGTTTCCCGTGACACGGAACTTGCTACTTGCATAAGTAATACTCCGTGTAAGTGGTGAAGTAAGAAACAATGATTTTATAAATACATAACCCACACTGGGTTACGTATATTGAGTATGCTGAGCTATCTATGTGCTGTAAATTGTACTTGAGCAAATCGGGCATTGCCATTTGAGCAGGCATTGCAATTTGTATACTTTGTATAATTGTATAATTTCGATCGTCGTTGCGGAAAAATTACATTTTTTAAAGTACCCGCTACAGCTATGTTTAAATGTGAGGTACCTACAGTCGTGTATCTATCATCCATTCCTTTAAAGTAGTTTTATTGGAACTGATGAAGTAGTGTGTAGTAATTGGTATCAAATGTTTCCGTCAAGAGCAACTAAAGAAGTGTTGAAAGCATAAAGCGGCCCATCTCCTCTTAAGCAACTGCTATTGAAGAAGTGTTATGTTTCTGTTGTATAATTTGTATCAAAATATATCCAAATTGCAGTTTCTGTATTTAATATTATTATTATTTTACTATTGATTAGGTTGAGAGGCCTTTTCTCTTATTGATAGTAATTAGTCATACAAAAATCAAAATTTTCAATTCAAAATCTCTCAAGTAATGACTCTAATTATAAACAATAATACTACGATTCATTCGCAGTGCAGACTGTCGTTTTGTAATCGCGATCAATTGCAATAAATCAACTAAAAAGTTATCAAAAACATTGTAGGCCTTGCAAGAGATCGTTGCATCCGCAATCATTCAATAGAATCTTTTACAGACTCCGAAGAAATGTGAAGAAACATTTGGCAATTCAATTACAGTGGTGAGGTAAATCTACAATTAATTTGTCCAACAGCAAATGGTCAATTTTTGCAGACTTTACGAAACTTTAGCGAGTTTTGTTTCAATTAAAATTTCAAAACACCTTATTATGTTCTGTAATTAGGTGTAATTATGTAATGATGATACAGATTCAACTAAAGCGTTCGATTGAGTGTATTATTAAGTATGTTATATCAGAAAGTGTTTCTTACTAAGAACTCCTATGTAAATAATTTAATTAGATACCAGGCGTGGGAAAGGTTACTTAACGTAACGGTTGTTTACTGATTTGTCATATTGTTGTTGTTGTGCATTGTTACATTAATTCTTCTCTCTCTTACGGTGATTAAAAAGAGGACATTCTGTTCCGTTGCTATGAATAAGTAGTTTTGTTTCTGTTTTAACAACATCTATACAAATAAATAAAATTTAAGTCTGTTTGTAATGTCAAAATTATAATAATGCCTAAAAACCAGTTTAAATATTTTTTGTCTATCTGTCTGTTTGTTTCGGGTAATCTTAAAAACGGCTGGACCGATATTGATAACATTTTGCTACCAGGTAGCTGTCTGTATAAGGAGTAACTTAGGCTATTTTATTCTCAGAAAAAGCCTATGATATTTTGCTCGGTCCGGAAATTGAACCCGAGGAGAGAAATACACTAGGGCAACTTTTCAAATTTGACGCGAACGAAGTCACGGGTACTTGTATTTATGAAATTGAAATGTGAACATTTCTAATATATTTGGTTTAGGTAATCCATTCTTTATATTTATCGAATTCACTTTAAAGTTAACATAATTTTTTTCTCAAATTTTTCTATTTTATCCCCTTTTTATCTAACCTTCTTACTTCCAAAGTTTGTTGGAAGTTTGAAAGCTGAAACTTAACAAACATAAACGGTAATATTTACAAAGCCACGCCTACAAAACTGATACTAAATAATATTGTTAGGATCATAAATACATAACATTTACTTAACAAAAGTATACAAACATGGCGACAGTTGTTTTACCAGTGAAAGCCTACTTTCCATTTCTGACGGCCTTCGAGAAAGTATGCTGACAGCAAACAAAGTGCAACCAGCACAATGCGTGTACGCAACTGAGCGTAACATCGCCTAACTTGTCACTTATATATTTAGATGACTTGATTACTTTCAATGTCATGGTTTACAGTTCTAAGGTCATTGGAGTTATCTTAACTAGTATTGTTTGTAATTTCACTTTATGAATGATTGTTTTTAATCTATTTGATTGAAACAAAATATTACTTTTTAAATATGTTGTTACATATTGGAAGAGTAACAACACTGCAAAGAGAAGGGAAACTTGAAATAAACACTATACTAACCCGTCTGGCCAGCGTGTTATAATAGGCCAAAACCTCCTTTCTAAGGAGAGGTCTATGTCGAGCAGTGGACTATAAAAGGCTGTTGATGTGATGATGTAACATTACTAATTAACAATTAGTATATCGCGCCACTGGTCAATTGTGTTGATAATAGTTTTCCTACATGTTAACACTTATTTAAACATGATTGTTTTCAATAGTACTTTTATTTCAACTTTCTCTGATTTTAGATCTGATTTGTATCAATTATATTTTTTTGTTACTGATCATAAAGAATAAATAATGAAATAAACGACAATGAAAGTTTTTAGAAACATTGAAGAACATCATAAAAACTCTCTAAATAACGTGCTTCTTCTCGATGTTTATCACCAAAATATAAGAAAACATGAGTAACCCACAAATGTAACCTTCATATGTTACTAAAACTATAATGTAGTAATTCATCAGAAAAATAATAAAATGCGTGTAGTATTTTTACTTAATTACGTCATCTTTTCATTTCCAGGTACAAATATATTTTCCTGTCAACACTACTTTTTATAAGCGGCACTTGTAATGGAAATACAAAAACAAGCCTAACAACGACCACACCGAAGTGCCCTTTCACAAAAATTGTAGAAGATATATTTCAAGTCAACAATAAAACTTCAAGCGTAGACACACAAGCAAGGAATCAAAATAAAGAAAGAGTAAAATTGTTCTTGAACACAATAGCAAACGTCACAAACGAAAATATAAGTAGGAAAGAAGAAGACCTCATCAATATAATCATAGCTTCAATAAATAGAATCAAAAATAATATTATAAATGCTCCCGAAGAACTCAATGAAGCCATCATTATAAATCCTAAACTTAATAATAATACTAAGAAAATAACACAAATTAAAAGTGGTGTTGAAGAAAAAACTGATGTAGCCCGAACAAAGAAGCAAACAACTAAAAGTATAGAAATAACTGAAATCTCAACTACAACAGAGACACCAAAATATGTTGAAGTTCTAACAATACCTCATACAAAAGAAAACACCACTTCAGCTAATATTATTGAAGTTTTAAAACATTTGATGCCCTTGTTCAATGGTACTTCGCCTAAAGAAATACACAATGTAACTATTATAGAAAAAGGGGCCAATAATAATAATTCTTTTTCTGCTACCAAGAATTTTTCAACAATTATAGTGGCTTATTGTGACAATAACAACTCGAGTGAAGCAAAAACTACCTTCAATAAAACACACGATGAAAAACATGATGAAGATGATCCTGATGAAGATTATTACGTGGACGATGATGTCTTGGAAACTGTAGAAGGTGAAGATGATGAAGCGTTAAACATAACACTTGGTGAAAAGAGAGAGATAATGGAAGCTGCTGAGTATGGAATGCAGAAAATGCATGAATTGTATACTGTCTTGGAGCCAAAGTTGTATTCTATGGGTAAGTAAGAGAATATTTTTATCTAAAGTACAATAGATTGTATCCTGCTTCATACCTTAAAAGTATCAATCGGTCTGAATATAGCAATGCATCCGTGATTATAATATTATTCTTAGACGAGTAGTTAGGGACATGGGATGCAAATGTTCGTTTTGTTGGGATGCCAAGGTAAGTGATCGACATTTCAGGTAACCAGAAAGATGGACTTTTATGCAGAATTGATACACCTTATTTTTCTGATCTTTCTGATGCAAACATACTGATGTTTGTATTCACTGTTATATTCCCAGGAGAAGTATTTAGAAGATTCAGCAAATAACACATATAGCTTTTTAATTTCGATTTTCATTTCATTACATTAATATTTGCTGCATATTTTTTATGCACATAAACACAGGCACGAGCTTATTTAACTTTGCATAACACTCTTGCCATAAAATTATTATTATTGCAATGCTTTGGCTTTAGTGCGTAACTTTTTCAAAGTAACTGTAACAAGTACCGGAGACCTAGTGACCTATAACACAGGTTTGTACCAAAATACGGCACCAGACCTCCACAATATTGTCTTGAGAGATCATAATACTTACTAAGCATAATATTTATTTTGTAAATACCTGAAATATTGTGGTGAGATACTTTAATGTTTTTCGCAGGACTTTGGCTGGATGACACAAGTCCAGCGCGGTACGTAGCCGCTTTCAACGCACCTTCGGAAGAAGCGGCAAAGTTTTCCAGATACGGTTATGCGGCACTGCAGGCTGCAACCAAACTAAAACAGTTAACGAGGTCAGTGTTATTTATGTTTGACAGACACCGCTAGTAGACGAGTGCTTGCTTTATTGGTTATTTTTTTCTTTTAATTAATTATTAGAGACTATACAATTGTATAGATCAGTCCCATCATATTCAAAACGGATAATATAGAAATTATTTAAAACGTAGACACGAATTTATAATTTTAAAGGCTGGTTCTAAAATAGACGCTGAGAAATATGTTTTCAATAATTGAGTTAAACAAAAGAAAACACATCTCATTTTTTTTAATAGTGAAAACCCTAATAGGGTTTTAATTTAACACTTAATTAAAATAAAACTTGTTGTAGAATAGTAACTGTTACTCATACCGACTGAAATATGTAATTTGAAGCTGCTGGTTTCATTTATTTTGTCTGTTTGATATTACGATAAATAAACCTTTCTGTTTAATGATTTAAAATTAGTACCTACCTATATTATAATTAAAATAAAACATAATCAATTCGTTTAGGGACACATTATTATTATATAGGGATGGATTGAAAATGTAGTTACCTGAACTTTAGTTTGTTTGTACTTTTTGAAATTAATCGCTCTATTTTGAAAAAAATATTTATTTATTACATAAACATCTATCTAATTAACAAAAGTTCGAATTATTCTACTTATTGCAATGCAATGTTTTCATTGTTGTAAGAACGGCTGCATTAAATAAACAAATTACGTTTACAATCAGTGTGGCCTTTAAAGATGTTTCCACTGTTTCATAATCTGCCATATAAGTCGGATATAATTAGCTGAAAATTGGTCTAAAAATCGTGAAATTGATAATCTCCATTTTCTTTTTTTATCCGTTAGTTGACAACGTAACAATTAACATATTTCAACGCGGATCCGTTCATGGGAACATTGTTAAAAAAAATGACAAAACGGTGCATCGTGTTTAACAAAAAAACTTCAAATCGTACAAAGAAAGTGTTGATGTACGAAAAAAATTCAATAAAAACACAAACAAAATGAGACTTGTAGAGTCCCGATTGGTTGAATAGTTTCTTTGCAAATTGCAAAATAACGCGTTTTTTTACAATTTTTAAACAACATTACAACTCGCCTTCTAATTAATATTAAGACCCCGGTTCCATATTAATCGGGACTCTACAAGTCTCATTTTATTCGTCCTTTACGCCTTTGTACGATAAACCGTTTTTGACAGTTTTAATCTTTTTATTTTAGCAGTGTTCCTATGAACTGATCAGCGTTGAAATGAAATATGTTAATCGACACGTTGTCAACTAACGGATAAAAAAAGAAAATGGAGATTATCAATTTTATTCGTGGATTCGCTAATTCTATTGAGTGCTTTCTGACTTTCAATATGACCTTTCAAATACAATGTTTACGACATGAGGTTAGCAAATAGTGAAGCATATTTATATAAGATTGTCCAATCATTGGACTAACCCCGGACTAAAGGTACCGTTCAAGGGAAACGCTAAAATAACAAAAGTAAAGCTCTAATAAATAAATAGAAACATAATCTTTTTTTTAAAAGACAACTCCCGCATTAGGAATAAATCCTGTGTCGCGGGGGACTTTACAAACATACATGAAACGGACACAAAGAACACCCAGACTCAGAAGAACAATTTGTGGATCACACAAAGTGTCGTCCCATATGGGGTTTGAACCCACAACACTCGACGTATTAGGAAGCGGCGAATCTAGGAAAACTAAGTTATTTTAGTACCATTATTAAACATTTCGTGAATGCTTGGGAGTTAAGGCAATACTACTCGCCGCGGGAAGACGATTCTCCGGTGGGTACCTGAGGAATCCGTTTAGTGATCGGTATCACATGACATGCTGCGAGTTTATTTAAGCTTGATAGGTCAAGCTTAAATAAACCTTACATAATTGAATTTTATTTATCAGGTAGATTCATACATTCATTTACAGCCTGTAATAGTCGACATAGGCCTCTCCTTAGAAAGGAGGTTTTAGCCTGGCCAGTCGAGTTGGTATAGGGTTGGTGTCAAGTTTGCCTTCTCTTTGCAGTGCTGTTGTCCTGCGTTGTTTGCTCCCTTAGTCCGCTCTTACGACATCCACGTGATGAATAGGGGTGGTGATACTCCGTATCGTTAATATCACACGGACGTATACAGATAAGTACATTACAATTTGGTAGTTCATCACATCACATCATCAACAGCCTATAATAGCCCACTGCTGGACATAGGCCTCTCCTTAGAAAGGAGGTTTTGGCCTACTATACCACGCTGGCCAGACGGGTTGGTATAGAGTTTGTGTCAAGTTTTCCTTCTCTTTGCAGTGCTATTGTCCTGCGTTGTTTGCTCCCTTAGTCGGTTCTTACGACACCCACGGGATGAATAGGTGGTGACACTACGTATTATTAATCTGTCATACAGATACAAATCCAACTTAAAATCATAACAATAATTAAGGTTATAAACATCTCAGGAATTCTTGACATTTCCACCGGTCGTATCGACCGTGACCATACGGTCAAGTTCCTTGTTTTGTGTACCTAAATTTTTAGATAAATATTGGGAAAGAATAAACGATGCTAATAACATTTTAGTATCTGCAGTTAAATCACGACTTAATTTTTTTATTTTTATATATTTTTATTAACTTTTCATAGTAAAAAATCTACCGCAGTGTCCTCATGAATATTTAGAATTTTATCAGATTTATAATGCATTAACAACCTTTAGGATTTTAATTTATTTATAGCCGGAGTGACTTACATAGTTATTAAATTCTTAATAAAAACATTTGAAATCCAGACTGTATCAATATAAATTCCAATGAATATTATCCAGAACCAGATTTTTTTAGATATACATCCAATGATTAGTTTTCCAGAATATCATTTAAAGGTTTAAAATATTTTTTTTAAATAAAATAGAAGGATTAATTTTACTACAATAACTTTGAAAGCCCCTTAAATACAAATATATAGCAATTAGGTTTTAAAAAGTATCACAGACTTCAATAGTTTTAGCTTTGGATGAGAAGGAAGAACATTTGTCTAGATAGTCGCCTTCCGCGTCGGTGTCAGGGTCAGTCTTCACGGAGTATATCCCCTATATACATCATCGTCATCATCATCTACAGCCTTAAACAGTCCACTGCTGGACATAGGCATCTCCTTATAAAGGAGGTTTTAGCCTTCTACACCACGCTGGCCAGACTGGTTGGTATAGGATTTGTGTCAAGTTTTCCTTCTGTCTGCAGTGCTGTTGTCCTGCGTAGTTTAGTCCCTTAGTCGTCTCTTACGACACCCACGGGATGAATAGAGGTGGTGACTCTCCGTATTCTTAATCCGTCACCACACGGATATGAGAAAAACGTATATCCTCAATAAATATAAATGACCAGTCATGACATGTCAGGACTAAGAGTCAGTCAGAATAACTCTGTCGAGAAACTGTGAAACTATATGGCAGCTCCAATACATAAAAATATTACGTAAATAAGTTACATGTTACTAAATAAACTTTGCTAATATTATATGATAAAATATCAGCTCATATGTAGATTGACATATTTAAAACCTCAACCCGTACCAAAGTCAATGACAATGATACATTTGCTTAAATTATAAAAACTTAATTGACGTTTTCATCAAATAAACCACTTGAATATTTCAAGATCACAGACTAAAAATGCTAATCACAGAATCTAAATTTAAAAATAATAAGAAACCTTGCTATTTAAAATTCAACACCTTTCTAAGTGTTGCAAGTTATAAAAATGGTTGTGGGAAATAAATCTTATTGCAATTCCAATCTAAATGGATTTAACAACCGATTTCAATTCGAGAATTATTTTACAGAAGAGGTAGGTATTTATTTAAGTTAAGCTATTAAGATAAGTTCAAGGCAACGATATCGACAATTATTTATAACGCAAATTGATACAATAAATTTTGCATTAGCAATAAAAAACACTTGATGCATAATTAACGAAAGAATCAATGAAACAAACGGACCGAACGAACGAACGATACTTTAATATATATGAGCCGGACCGTAGTGATACCGCGGTCTCACAGAAAGCTGGTGACATGCAGTTCTTTCATTGCTTTTCACTTAGTAAGTTACATTAGTTTGAAACTAAAACGCGTTGTGTGTCAGACGTCCGAAAATATTATTATTTTTCTCTTTATTAAATTTTAAAATACATATTGATTACATTTTAAAAATAGTAGACCACCGACATCTGGTACAGGGACCAAGATACCGTTGGTTAGGACTCAAAAACAGGAACCTTCTCACTATACGTTAAGGAGAACTGCCTTCTGCATCAGACCCTTGTCCAGCCGTCTCAGATGAGCCTCTTAAGGTGTTGGTCAAGGCTCTTAGCTATCAATCCTTGAGCAGATACGACTATCGGAACAATGATCGCCGAATCCACATTCCACATATCAACAATCTCGTGAGATAAATCCAAATATTAGATTCTCGTCATGAGACTCTATCAACAATCATTGCGCGGCGCTATAATCGATCTATCACCACAATATCAAGCTTATTTTTAACAAAAGTCCTGTATGTGATAATAGATGAACCCAATACGACGTGGCCCGACCCTTCTCCAGACTGGGTCGGGCACATACCTGTAGTATGGCACCTCTAGATTCACAAATTGGTTTTTAAGGATGAGCTGTACGATCCTGGCTATTTGGTTGTGCCTGTTCAAATATTCACCGTTAGCGAAACGAGAACAGCCAGAAATAATGTGCCTGATTGATTCCAGGACGGTGGCATGCCCGACAGATGTCAACCGTACCATCTTTCAGGATATATTTCCCGATAGTTATTCGTCGTGATAGCTTCGTCCATAATCGCACAAACAAAACCTTCAATTCCTCCAAAGAGCAATCACCATACCGTAGCCAACCCGTAGATGATAAATTATATCACATTTAGGGCCCGATAAAACCGAACAGGGAGCTCTTTGCCCTTCCATACTTCCCTGCGATCATTACTACTAAGTACTACAAGTTTGCGTCAGTTCTCTTTAGACAGAGCGAGCGGA